AATTCTAACGTTTATTACTCTTTTTACGGCTTTGAATTCGAAAATATTTGTTTTAGATTCCACGAAAAGGAAACTTCTGGAACGTTTTCTATCACTGGTGAATCTGAACCCTCCGCTATCAGTGTAATCAATGCTAGAAACCAATCTTTCTAGCAATGTGTGTTCCCTTCCTCATGTTGAAAACTTCCATCAAAGTCATCTTTTAAAAGGAAAGCTCTTTTGTTCAAGAAAGATCTTAAAGAACTGAGTTTGCTTTTAATTAACAGCGCATTTCATTTAGCTTTCCTGTAGACTTTTAATAGCTATAAACAATTCGTTTCACGGCCTTAATGCACACACCCCGTTAAAAGACAAATTGTGTTTTGTTGAAACCGAAAAGAAGATACGATTAAATTCAACATCAGTTGTTCCAGCCAAAAGTCAATTTACAGATATTGAAATGGAAATCTGTGGACAGTCTGTGAATTTGTTGTTTTTATTTACATTCGGCAGGTGTGTGATTGTAATGGATTCTTACGTGCGCACATATCTAATTGCTTTCGGGGAAGACATGCACGTATACGGAGCACTGATGTAGTTGTTGTTTAAATATTCATCATGCTTTTTTTAAGCTCAATGTTACAGCAGAAGGCAGTCGTAAGAAGTAAAAGCAAGTATTATGGAGATGTTTTACGCGAGAAATGTGTTAAAATACAGGAGAAACGACCTGGATTATCTTGACTCGTCAAGGCTTCTACATTAGCACTTAGCGTCCCGGCAGATCCTAGTGTAAAATTTGCCGAAGACATTGATAAGTGCAGCATTTAAAGGAAAATACCAAACAAGCATCGGGCATCAACAGCTAAACACTCCGCTGTTGACCTTGAATCGAGCATGGACAATTCCAGGAATGCTAGTCTTAAACCAGTGCAAGCGTCCAACCTCCCCGCCTTGATTGTTGTCCAAAGCGTTTTTCTTACACTGATAATGATAGTTAGCGCCGTAGCTAACAGCTTTATATGTCGCTGTATTCTGGTTCACCGATCTCTACGAACGATTACGAACTCTTTTATCTTTAATCTCGCGGCTACAGATTTCTTGTTATCCGTGCTGTGTATGCCTTTTGCTTTAGTGTCCGCCATCACCGGCCGATGGGTATTTGGCGAGGTCATGTGTAAGCTTACAGGGTTTCTGATCTCAGTTCTGTGTATTGCGTCTATTCTAACTTTGGTTTTAGTAGCTATCGATCGATATCTGGCGATATGTCGTCCACTGAAATACTGCATCCTAGTCACGCACAGGAAAAGTGTAATGATGTTGGTATATGTTTGGCTTCATGCTGCTGTATGCTCCATTCTGCCTGTCATTGGCTGGGGACAGGGCTACAAATTTGTTGTTGAAGAATCAATTTGCCGGCCGGAGTTCGGAAAACCTACAGCTGATAACGGCTACACAATATTTTTATTCATAACTTGTTTTGTTGGGCCATTTTCAATAATCGCATTCACATATGTCTCCATTCTGTTCACAGCCAGGAGACAATTTCGCCGGGTTCATCAAGCCAAAGTGACCCCGCCTAACCCGATTAACAGCACGCAACCAAGCAGTTCCCAACTCAACGTTATCACAGACTACCATGGTGAAACCACCATTGCTCATACGCCAGAAAACACTATTGTAGGAGAAGAAATAACTTCTGCGACTAACACCTCACGTTTCAAGAAGTTATATACCTCAAGGATCATAAAGAACAGACGACGGCAAAAGGCGAGGGGTTTTAAAATGCTTTGGTTAATTGTGGCGGTTTTTCTAATCTGTTGGAGCCCTTACTTTATTTTCATATTCTATAGCTCTATTCATCAACGTCGTTTCTCCAGAACAGTCAAGGTACCAGTCATGCTCCTAACGTTTCTCAATAGTGCCTTAAACCCATTTTTATACGGGTTTTTGAACGGAAAATTTCGGTCAAGCTTGTGGGAGTCAATTGGAGAGAAGTTTGCTTTCTGCAAGTGGAAACAAAACGAGACAAAATCGAGAGTGCATCATATTAATTGAGGATTTCTGTGGCTATCGCCAGCAACTCCTTAATGTATATCAGTTAAAACATAGAATCGATGCCATAAATCAATTGTTATAAATGATGGATGAAACAAGTGGAGGAAGCAAGGAAATATACGCGGTATCAGTGTTCACGGAAACAAAATGGATACCTTAATTGGTATAGCTGGCCAATTCTATAAAACGCTGCCTGGCGCATTTAAAAAAAACACACACACACACGCACACACACACACACACACACACACACACACTTACAAACACGACCCTTTAATTTTGCTTTAAAAGCCAGAAGAATCAGTCTTAGCATGCAAATTGACTCTTTTGTTAAAATTGGTTCTTATCTATGTAAAAATTAAAGACTATTTTGACGGTAAAGAAAGCAGCTGAACTTGAGGGAAGTACTCCTAAAATAAAATATGATTCCGTTTTTGCAATTCACGGGTCGAAAACAACCTGTATGTTTACATTAACACTATGTGTTAACTGTATCTAAAGTGATACATTTGACATCGTAATTCCAAAAAAACTTGCTGCTTGTTTTCAGTGCAATAAACAGTCATTCTATTTTTTTTTTATTTAAATAAAAGCACAGATTTAACTTGGTTCCACATTTCGTTTCAAATTGTTGGCTGTTGGCGTTGTAAATTTTACCCGCGTACTCGTCAGGTCAAATTGTACGAGTTTATGTTTGTGCTAAATATTACTAAAAAGTATGTTCTCCGCGGAGTTTCATGTGTGATAAGACCAAGAGTGATTTCCCACCAACGTTGTGGTAGCGATGACACCGAGCATATGCTGGTCGTGAGAGAAAACTATGTGTTTGTTTCGTTCGGATAAGCCGTTATGTTTTATAAGAGAGTTTTTGAAAGATATGGGAAATGATCTATAGTCTTCGAAGTCTTGGTATACGTCCTGCCAATAATTCACTCTGCTTTTGATGGCCAAACTAAAAAGTTAAACGAAGGTTCTGCAAATTCCGTTTGTTTATTCAATTTTGTCATATTAAAAGTAGGAAGACCAGATGGCACAAGGAGTAGATTAATTAGGAACTTGTAATACTGAATTTTCTTCCTTTGCCGAATCATCCTTTACCGAGTGAATGAGTCTCAGATATTTGAGACTGAAACATTCTTTAATACATGTAATTTTTATTTGTCGAACTTTATGTATTGCTTCAAACTCCCATCAAATAATCGTGCACATTCATGCAGATCAACCTAATACACTACCAATAACATTTCTTTTCTCAAAGGAGCCAGCGTATAGCCAAGTATAGCCATGATAGCAAAGCAGCAAAAAAGATACGGCAAGCATTTTATTTAAACAAAAACACTTTGGGATAACATTATTCACTCAAACGTAAGAGTTCTCTAGCCTCTTAATTGTAAAGTAAAAGCATCTTTGTAAAAATATCATTACAGAAATATCTAAAATATCATTACAGAAATTTTCCTGTTAGAAGAGGTTTTACCGATACTGTCGCACTTTCACTGGAAGCATTCACCTTTTGTGTTTAAGCGGAGAGGCTGTTGTCAAAAATTAAGTATTAGTCCCGCTTCATGAAACAAAATCTCTGTTCCCACTAAGAATGTGATAAATGCAAAATGAAACACTTAGGAGTATTTATTTTTTTCGTTTACACCCACCCACATAACACCCACTAGCTGATGCAGGACTGACTGATTTACATAAAAGGGGAATTCATTGTTGTTCTCTGACTTCTCGGCAACAAAACAAGAGAATAGCCAACCATGCACCAGTGTCAGCCCGGCTTTACTGATTTATAAAGATACCCTAAATTTGATACCCAAAATGTATATCCTGTGGATGGTTTTTGGCGTTATTTCAATTTTTTTTGTTATTATTTGCATTTTTACCTACAACTTCAGAAAGGCTTTTTTTACGATGTTGAGCTAATAATTCTACTGGACATTTACTCTTAAACGTGTTCAATAAACGATATTTTAGGGTTACAAAAGGAGCAACTTCTGTCAACAATACAAGCTTGCTCAAAAGGCAATTTTTGCTCCAGAATGGAATTTAGAATACCACGTTTTCGCCTTTAGGCCTTTTAAAAGTTCTTCATGTCAGCTAATAAAAACTTGCGCCCCCAAATGACCACGAGGTAATTATATTTTTTGTGTTGCGGAAGATGAAAGACAAACTCAGTACTAAAAAATCACAACAAGTGTATCTTTCTACACAATAAAAGCTAAATCTTATATCAAGCCCAAAGGCCATCTAAAGAATAGGGAAGCCCCACCGAAACGAATTTTTCTTCCTGTAAAGCGCGCCAACGACTAATGAACAAGCAAAACAATACATGCTAGGTATTGTTTCGGAAATTATAAATCAAATAACTTCTGCTTTAACGGCGACCATGCCCTTTACCTGTCTTGTTGTTTCTTCTCACGGGAAATCACACAGACACTTAGTAACTATCAAAACAACTCATTTCCTCAATTTTTGTTTTTACGAGTTGAAGTCAACTTTACTTTAGCAAAATCCCTTCCCTTAATTTTTTATTTCTTAATTAGTTTCTAAATACGAACCAGTCCAGAAAACGTGACTAGGCAGTCAGCTGGCGATACTAAAATGCTTTATTTTCTTTTCATTCCAAATTGATTTATCATTTCTGTACAGGTCCGCGTCAACGGAAACTTGGTTCTTGCTGAGGAAGCTTGATCTAACAAACGCGTACCAATGAAAACTTTAGAATGCAGAAAAATTGGCACAATGTAAGGAAGTATTCTAAGACACAAGCACTGAATTTTAGGATTTTAAATCAGAGCAGAAAAGTCTCTCTCAGCATGGTCAGCACCATTTTTTTCTTCATATTTATTTTTTATAGCATGCAGAAGCACAAACAGTAAAAACAAAAAAAAATGCCCACGTTGGTTTTACTTAAGGTTGTTTGCACTTTAGTTCCTCAGGGTACCCTGTTGGGGCATGTCCGTGTACCAAGGGTCACGAAGGTAGCCTTAGAGCGTGCATAAGCTCTAGAAATCGCTAGTTTTAGCATTCACATTGCAATATTTAGAAATCTGCTTGAAATAAAATATCCCGATTATGAAATGATGTAGAGTTATAAAAATGGTCCAAAAATCACGGTACAAGAGTTTGTAACAAAACTTTTCCGTATTCTTATTCCGGAGTACGATCAATCGAACAAACCCTAAATCATACAGTTCACCAGGGCTCCGTTTTTTTTTTTTTTTTTTCATTTTCTGAGGGAAAGGCTGTGGTGGAAAGGTTGACAGTTCACAAGGTTTACCACTCTCGTCCCCAGAGCCTCCTAGGGGCCTGAGCATCAGGACTAGGAGGCTCTGGGGACACAGGATTTGAAGTCCTAGATTTTAGGACTTCCGGTCATTTCTGATTTTCTACAACGTTTCTAATAGCGTTCACTTGCTCTTGCAGAAGTGTCAATGACTGTTAATTAGGTTCATTCCGGGTACTTCAAGCTACTACAGTTGATGAAGAACAAACTAATTAGATGTGCATCCATTGAATTATTACTAAATTCAAAATTTGCCTTTAAAGTATTCGGTTTCACAATTTTAAAATCATCTCTGATACGAAAAAAGTGTATTTTATTACGCTCTGTTCCCACACTGACAAAAAAAGATCTGGAGCCATATGAGATCAATTCAAGCCAAAAAAGCTCAATCTAAAGGCTATTCCAGCCCACTCTGGGGCCCATTTCAGCCCTTGGGTCCAAATCAGCCCTAGCTAATTGGACTGTATTGGCCCTGATTAAAGGGAGCCAAATTAGACTCAAAAATAGGACTGTATTTTACTCACCGAAACTGCCCCATTTTTAGGGCTAAAATAGATCTTTCCGATTTTACAGTGTGTAAATAACATACGGAAGGCGCAAACGCATACTGTGCAGCCAATTCTATAGCCTGCCTGGCAGGCGTTCGAAAGCGAAGGGGAAGGGAATTGACAAAACCTGAGTTATTTGGAAGTAACACATTAACACCTGTAATGTTCAAAGTCTGAATACATCGTTTGTAAGTATCGACTCGGTTTTTTAAATTGTTAACAAGACAAAAGTTGCCAGCGGCCGGACCATTTTGTTTATTGTATAGAGTAAAATTTTGTGTTATTACGAAACCGATAGTGTTGTTGTTGGCTCTCCTGATTGGTCAGCGTAAATGAAGACTTATTTTTCTGACTTAATTCCTATTCATATATATCATTAATAATAAAACATAAATCAACAAAATGCAAATAGAGTGAATTTTACGACTGTGTCTCCTTCTCACATGTGACAGTCTGATCTTCCAAGTTTCAAGCAAATCAAAACGCTAACGATGAACGAGGAGAAAATTCCTCTAGTACAGGTATTCTTATTCTTCCTTTAGCGCGCATACCGGGTTATAAGAATTTCCATATTTAGAAGCGACGAAACCCTATTTCAATTTCTTTTCTTCTTCGTGCAGGTTCACAAATTTGGTGAATATTCTGGGATTTAATAAGCCTTGCTTTGATTTTATTTCTTTTCAACTAAGATTGTTTGTATATAAATAGCCGAGAACTTAAAACACGTACAGGCAAGATAATTTTCAGTTCTACAGAAATCAAATATTTTCACTGCACAATGATGGCTTTGAGAGCAGACGCTTGAATTTTAAATTTAATTACAGACAAAATTAGCTCGAACGTTTTCTGATTATTTCACAATTTATTACGTTTCCTTGCATGAAAAACGTAGAGTTTTTTTTTAAAAGGGAACCATCGATGTAGTTCTAAGAAAGTTTTAAACTCAGCAGAGGTGTGTGATTTTACTTCAAAATCACCTGTCGCTCGCAGCAATGTATCCTTAATTGACATATGTTCAGCATTACTTTAGAAAACGGAAAAAAAAATTACTACATTGTTTGGAGTCGAAGCAACCGTTGAAACCTTCAGCTCAAAGAGATCAAGCTTTTCTTTTTCATTTCATACTCGGCTCGGAATTCTTAACAGAATTAAAACACTTTTTTAAGACCAATAGACAAGGCCAAGAGCCATATTTATGTCTCCTGACGAGACTGAAATAACAGGTTTGGTATTGAAGAGACTGGTACGAGTCAAATCAGGTACCTTATTCACCGCTGACCTTCAGCGAGTGTGTATAATCATGACTGCCTTCGCATAGAACTATTTTAAAAGCATAATTGATGCTCAAAATTGTTCACCCTACTAGGACATAAAAAACCATTTAATCGGTAATCTAGGAAATCCGGGTTTACGATTGGTCTTATATTGGCTGGCTTGTTGTGGAGAGTAATACAGCTCAATGTCGCACTTGCGCCGAAAAGAACAACATAGCAAACAGCAAAGACATCATAAAGGTTGGCTTTCTTAAGAAGGGAGAGTGAAGAAGAAAGCGAGTGTGAAATATGGCGAAAGGGAAAAAAGAGAATCAATTAACAGAAGTAATCTCGAATCACTGAATCGTTATGTCTGACATGCGCGATAGATACCTCTCGCATTTTGCGTAACAAAAGGAAAAAGTAGAGCCAACAAATATTTTATTAAGAAAGTACTGTAAGGTATGAATGTGTATGCCAAATTACCATGCCAACACACGCTGCTTATTCAATTCAACTTGCGAAATTGACAATCAGAATTTGCAGGTCTTGGAAATGCACTTACAGGTATGACACTCCTTTCTTATTTCTAGTAACGCCACTTCAAAATATATCTCGCCCTTACAAGAAAAACACCTAAGAGAAAAGCCTTTCGGTTAAGCAACCACAAGTTCATGATCGAGATTGGCAGATACAACCAAATAATTAGATTCGATAGTTTTTGCCCTGCTTGTAGATGTAATCAAATCGAAGACGAAATTCATTTTCTGTTTTACTGCTCCGAATACCCTAAATGAGAGAGAAATTTTATAGTAAGCACAGTCTCTCATCGCAGTATTAAGTAATTATCGGTTGACGAATTGATTATGACATCTTTTGAAATCTGCTTCGTATCTTATTAACAAAGAATTAATTTAATTCATAGCATCTTGTTTTAAACTTCGGAAAAAATTGTTATCAACGTAGTTTTCAATCGTTATCTTAGTTTGTTGTACGATTTTGGAATACTTTTAAGTTAACGGTCTTGCAAATAAAGCTTATTATTGTTGCTGTTGTAGTCTGACAAGAAAGAAACTCAGTACTATAACGTATAACCCGATATACAGTACTATAGTTAAAGTAGCATAAACTGATATACATTACCGTCCAAAGTTTCGCTTAGACAGAAGAAATGAAAGTTAGTTCTGTCTAACCAAAACATTGAGCAATTTAAGTTCCTTTTTCAGCTTTCTGATCAGCGTTATACACTATGCCCAACTTTACTCTCATTTGCATGTCGAGTCGACAGAGCGTGGAAATCGCTTGGATAAAAAAATGTCCAAAGCACCATGAGCCGAAAAAATCGGATGCTCTTGCAGGCTACCATGAGTCATGTTTGAAGAAATCTTGCCAGTGAAAACCTTAAAGCAGTTACTTACGCATGTTTCAGGTCAGGCCTCAGATTTTCAAAAGATAGATACACAGCACTATGTATAAGTTACTGACATAACTACGTTATGAACAACTGGAGGCCAGGAATATAACTGATATCTTTTGTATTTATACAGCTTCAAGCTTTGCATGATGAGCCTAATCCGCCACCGATCAAAGATAGTCAAGGACAAGCCTCTCCCATCGGGGAAACAGATGAAAACGCTCGTCTCGTTGGCGAAAATGAGGAGAAATCTTATAGCTCCTCAAGTGGTGGTTTAAATACTCCTTCTTCAGAAGAATCTATTGAAGAGAAAAGAAAATATCTTAATAATACAACCACGTGAGTTCTTTTTTTAAAACAAAAGACACAAAAAGCGCAAGCTACACATATCATCTGCGAGTGCGCGAACCGGCCGAACTGGTTCATTCTCGTTACCAGAGCCTCGAGTTTTTTCAGCCTGAACATAAACTGTTATCATATGAAATAGAGAAGCGGGGGGCTCTGGCCCCAATTGTTCAAACCCTGCTTAGCGCTATCTGTTGGATAAATCACTATCCAGCGGATACGTGTTAGGAACACCAATTGTGTTGTCCACTGGACTGGATAGATATTAATCCAGTGCATAGCGTTATCCACCTTTTCAACAACTGGGGCCAGGAGTTGATAAAAGACCTGTCTGAGTACTCTGCGCATGCCCTTTGCGCTTGTAATGGCTACAGACGTGTGTAGCGTGTCTTTATTGTTGGCTTCTACACTCATTTGGATCACTAACAGTGGATTCTTTTTAGGTCCAGCAACTGCCCTTTTAAAATCCAGTAGCCTGGGAACGGACAGACTGTTTTATAGATCAAAACTTCCTTATTAATTGTTGTTTTTCTATACAGCAATATGGAGGCCCTGGCTCATCTATTAAGAGGAAGCATCGGGTCGGGAATGCTGGGATTGCCCGAAGCCGTAAGGCACGCTGGGATTGTCGTAAGTTTGCTTGTCCAGTTTTAGGGGCCAATTGTTTATGCAAGCCTTAGACGGTCTTTTTCAACGAAACCGAAGTAAACAATGTCATTGTATATTCAGACTTATCATTAAACTTCTATCATACAGTCAAATTTTCAAAATGTCTCATAGCTCTGGTACCCTGTCTTATAACTAGAGAACAACACATACTCTTCTAAACTTAACTTAAAGGTATACTCAGGGTATGTCTACACTCTTGCACGAGCACGAAAACCATGTCTTTTTGATAAGAACTGCAATTTAGGCGCGGTATCCTGTGACGGAGCGAAGCTACGCCGCGCCCGCGGTGGATTGTCACATATCGGATATTTTGAAGTAACACTCTTTAGATCAATTAAAGTTTCTGGGAAACTGCCCACCTACCCCTCCCCTAATCCGACATTTTGCCCTAAGTAAGAAGTAAGTGTTAATGTTGACTTAGGGGAGGGGTAGGTGGGCAGTTTCCCAGAAACCTTAATTGATGTTAACACTCTTTGTGGCAGTGTAAATAGGTACTTGAAACGTAGCAGAAACGAATGAGTAGGAAAGAGGACTGGAACCAACTAAGACGGAAGTAAATATTCATGATTGAGGATTGGGACTTAATGTACCAATCCCTCTCGGCCATAACCTTAATATGAATATATCTTTCAGGTTGGTCCCCTGGGGATGTTGCTTGTTGCTGCGGTTACGGTTCACTGCATGCATCTTTTGGTTTATTGTAGTAGTGTCTTCTGTCGAAGGTAAGCTAGATGATGATGATGATGATCTTTGTCCAAGTTACAGTCGCAATCATACCCTTTGTATTCAGTATCTTTCCTCTTTGGTTCGTTCAATACATAGCCGTACCGTAGCGTCCTTCTTAAATCTACATTTTATAAGAGAAGAACTATATAACTGGAGTGACGAAGCCCAAAAACCACTTTATGGTGATATATATCTAGCCGGATTTTTGAAAACGTTATTTGTTATTGCCAAATAGACTTCTTCGTCCAACAGTTTTTTTTCGTACAAAAACTATCTCCAAAGTAGCATTATAAAAACTAAGAGTGCAACCATTGCTTTTTTCTCGTCTCCTCCTTTCTCCCTCCCCGCTTTTTCTTTTTCTCCTTTCCTTTTCCTTCATTGGTGTGATTTTGGAGCTTATGGAGCTTAAAAAACCTACGGCTTTTCACTCAAATGACTGTAGATTTCGTTAGGCTGGTTTTCAAAAAATCGGGTAGATATATATATTCTGCCTTAAGTTTTATCCGTGATAGTAATTTCATGAGCAGCTTCAAATGGCTTGGCAGCTCAGTTGGTTAGAGTGCTGCCCCCTCCCCCCGTATCTCGAGGTATCGTAGAGGTAAGAGTTCGAATCTCGGCAATCCTGAATTTTTTTAAGCTTTCTTTTCGCAACTGCAGAAGTCGCGTCTTTTACGGCTATTTCATCATGACGCGGCTCTAAAATATGAGATTCATATTTTCATCATATGTTGTTTCTCCACCTCCCTTTTGTTGCTTTTTTGTTGTAGAACTGGAGAGGCGGCTTTGGGTTATGGAGAGGTTGCAGAGGAATGTCTGAGGCGTTACTGGCCAAAAAGAGCTTATGTTGGAAGGTAAGGTAACAACTTTACCATTTATTCCCCTCCCCCTCCCCCCTACCCCCCCCCAAAAAAGAGGCTCAAATTCCATCGAATAGATTACGTAACAGTTAGTAGCAACAGCCACAGCACGGTCAGGTTGTAAGGAAGCTGAGCATCTCCTCTGACCACTGGATAAATTTGCTCCAATGGGTATTTTCGTTTCATCCTCGGAGATCAAGGGAAAGTCTAATCGGGCAGGAAAAAATGGCGCCAAGTAAAGTTCTTTAATTTTCCTCGCGCTATTTTTTTCCCCGCCCGATGTTTTTATTTATTTTCTCATTCTTTTAAACAGGCTGTTGTCGTAGACATTGTTTAAAGACTAAGCACTAAATTCCAGAAGCTTTTCTCAGAATGAAAGGGCTGAATTCACCCAAGGCCTCGAAGGTTTATATCACCCGCCCGTGATATAAAATGACGGCTATTTTCTATCATCTACACCTTGATTGATCACCTTTTGTTGAACTATTGTAAAGAGAATGATAAGACGATTTTAACATTTTTCAGACTGATCGTGAACATTTTTCTGTGTATATCACAACTGGGAATTGCCTGTGTATATTTTGTATTTATCGGCGATAATCTTAGACAGGTAAGAGCGCTAAGCGAGGTTTTATTTGCCTTTGAAATTTTTTTAACAGTATGCAACCGTAACTGCAACAACTGTCATTCTCATTTCCATCATATCGCCATCAGTATCAGCAGCAGCGATTTAGCGAGCAAGAGTGGCGCAGTGTTGTGCCATGCCTGGCTCCTGCTGCGCTCAAGTCCCGGTGTCGACGCCATATGAGGGTTGAGTTTGTTGTTGGTTCTCTTCCTTCTCTCTAGCTACTCCGGTTTTCTCCTCTCCTAAAAACCAACACCTTCAAATTGAAATTTGATCTGGAACGCACGGACACGGGTGAAAAAAAAAATACAATTACAGAAACAGTAGCAGCACTAGAGGCATAATGATCCGACAACATCGTCATCATCGTTAGTATCATACATATTTATCGCCATATCGTTATCACCGTCACCTTATATTACTTGATTGTCCTTATTGTTATCATCAACCTTTTAACCTTTTAAACCCTAATATCAAAATTCAAATTCTCTTTTGTTATCTCTATGCGTTTTCAATAGCAGTAGTGGGGAGAATTTGTTGAAGTATCAATGAGATTCATCTTGTGTGATCATGTCCTTAATTGTCATGACCACTCTGTTTTATAAAGCAGTGATATTACAAGGAGAAATTTGACGTTGATCACTCTTAGGGCTTAAAGGGTTAATACCTCGTCATCACTATTAACATAACCTTTTCGTATTCTTGAAGTTAGTGATTGCCATCACCAACTCCATCAGTGATTACGCTTTACGAAGCCTTCCCTCCACCCCTCCCACCGTTCATTTGATATAAACCTCCTAGTTCCTCTTCTTCTACGTTTCAGGTATCCAACGCTCTGGACACTACAACTTGGATCGCAATAATTCTTCTTCCAATAATCCTGTTGTCCTTCATCCGGGATCTTCGTACCCTAGTCCCATTCTCCATCGTAGCAAACATCCTCTGTCTTGTAGCTCTTGTTATTATATTTCAGTATATCGTAACAAACATTCATGACGTTGACAGGCTGCCTGCCTTTAGTGGGTGGATGAACTTACCCGTCTTCTTTGCAATGGCTGTATATGCCTTTGAGGGAATTGCAGTGGTATGTATGATGTATTTGGCATTTGAATTTTTGCCTAGGTCCGATGTATCCGTGTTTTCGTTACCATGTTTCTACCAATAGAGTAACTCAATGATTCGATGTATCAACCTCACCGCGCAGCTCTTAAATCCCTTGATTCGGTTCTTTGAATCTTTTCACGGTGGAAAACTCATTTATTTGGCTTTATCGTGTCAGTTAATAAAGCCAAATGACAAACAGGAAAACCAGTGGCGGATCCAGGGGAGGGGCCCGGGGGGCCCCGGCCCCGGCCCCGGCCCCGGCCCCCCTCCCCCTTTTTTAGACCAAACTGAGGCCCGAAGGGCCGCAAATTTTTTTTTTGGAAAAAAACAAAAACCTTTACTGACTCTGTGAGTGAAAGAGTTAATTGTATGCATGTCATTGATAGGTTTTGCCGATTGAGAACAAGATGGCAGCGCCTCAAAACTACGGCTGGGTCATTAACCTTGGAATGGGAATCGTCTTCGTGTTGTTTTCCTCGATAGGAATTTTGGGATACATGTTCTGTCAGGAAAAATGTCTGGGCAGTATAACACTGAATCTGCCCAATGAAGGGTAGGTATACACTGCGTGACCAAGGACGAACGCCAACCAAATTTGGTTTTGTCACTTTCTCCTCCGCAGAGGTTCCAGCCGGGCATCTCAATAAAAATAGCGAGCGCGCGGGCGACGATGAGAAGAGAGAAAAGGCGGGAGCTTCTTCTCTTTCCCCATCCCATCGTCCCCCGCGCGCTTTCATTTCTCCCTCTCCCCAGCCTCCCCACGATACAAAGAGGCCCGTTCTGCGGTGAAGAGAAGTTTAGTCAGATAAGTCGACTATAGGTAAATCTGACGTTTCGAGTAATAAGCCCTCCATAGCGAACATGAAGAATCTGCTTTCGGTAGCCAATAACCCTCATCTTAACAACTTGTGTTAAACCCACCCAGCTTTGCTGTCTCAGTGCTTATGTAGAAACGTTACAAATGTAAACACTTCCACTATACCGTCCCAACATTTCCAGAGAAAATAGATGACACCCTGCCAACGAGATTGCAGGTTCCGTGGTGCTCTTCATGAAAATTTGGAACTTGGATTTAGATCGTCACCGAAAACTTACTATACAGTTCTTCCCTCAACTCGCTAAAACCTTCACGCACCATGATCCTACCTCTCCCCCAGCCCCCACCCCAAGCGCTCCTCGTTGTTTTAAGAAGAGATCCTTGCAAACAAAAGAAAATCATTTTGACGAGACTTAAAAAGGAGGGGGAGATGTTTAGTTGGGTCTCCTATATCAGTTATTTTCTTAGTGTTTTCCCTCAAACAACGCCATTTCAACAAGAACGAGTTGATTTACCGTTCACTCCGTTAACCTCTTTGGTTTTCTCTCTTTAAGAATTTATTTAGGAGTGAAACTGCTGTTTGCCAGCTGCATTTTCCTGACGTATTTTCTTCAGTTTTATGTTCCCATGGTGATAATCCAACCTGTGATTCTTAAACACGTACCTGAGGAATATCAGGACGTAGCCGACTTCGCCATCAGGGCGGCAACAGTGATTTTTACTTGTGAGTANAGCTTCTTCTCTTTCCCCATCCCATCGTCCCCCGCGCGCTTTCATTTCTCCCTCTCCCCAGCCTCCCCACGATACAAAGAGGCCCGTTCTGCGGTGAAGAGAAGTTTAGTCAGATAAGTCGACTATAGGTAAATCTGACGTTTCGAGTAATAAGCCCTCCATAGCGAACATGAAGAATCTGCTTTCGGTAGCCAATAACCCTCATCTTAACAACTTGTGTTAAACCCACCCAGCTTTGCTGTCTCAGTGCTTATGTAGAAACGTTACAAATGTAAACACTTCCACTATACCGTCCCAACATTTCCAGAGAAAATAGATGACACCCTGCCAACGAGATTGCAGGTTCCGTGGTGCTCTTCATGAAAATTTGGAACTTGGATTTAGATCGTCACCGAAAACTTACTATACAGTTCTTCCCTCAACTCGTTAAAACCTTCACGCACCATGATCCTACCTCTCCCCCAGCCCCCACCCCAAGCGCTCCTCGTTGTTTTAAGAAGAGATCCTTGCAAACAAAAGAAAATCATTTTGACGAGACTTAAAAAGGAGGGGGAGATGTTTAGTTGGGTCTCCTATATCAGTTATTTTCTTAGTGTTTTCCCTCAAACAACGCCATTTCAACAAGAACGAGTTGATTTACCGTTCACTCCGTTAACCTCTTTGGTTTTCTCTCTTTAAGAATTTATTTAGGAGTGAAACTGCTGTTTGCCAGCTGCATTTTCCTGACGTATTTTCTTCAGTTTTATGTTCCCATGGTGATAATCCAACCTGTGATTCTTAAACACGTACCTGAGGAATATCAGGACGTAGCCGACTTCGCCATCAGGGCGGCAACAGTGATTTTTACTTGTGAGTATAAGCCTATTATAGTATTCAAAGAGGTTCTGTTACGATGATATTGCTGTTTTAAGCCAATTCTGTGCTTAAGTAATTACTGGGAGTAAATGTATTGACACCTAAATAAAATACTTTTTATCTATTTTAATTGATACTGTTTTTAAAGTATGAATAAACCACAAAATCAGAACGTTTTCTCTACTTTTTCGCAACCATAAAATGAACGTGATATCCATTTTGGGCCGTTTTACAGAGAGTAATGACAGATTTCCCTATCCTTTCATATACTTCAACTAGTAAAATCTCTACCCTTTCTTATACCTGAAGCCTGAAAAAGGTACCCTTTTCGGGCGGAGCCTCTCGTATAGGCCTTTATAGGGAGTACCTCCCTGTAATACTCTCTAGCTCTTAAGAAGACCTTATAGTGTGTCCTCTCAAACGAATATTATTAACATAGTCCCATTTTGAGTTTGCAATCGCACCTTCAATTCACGCGGGAAAAAATGATTGACATGTGCTGTGTCGGGAGCGGCGTGAAATATCACTCACTGTCCTATTGGTCAATTGTCATGACGTCACCGGTAGAACATATATAACGACCAGTTTTGTCTCATCAAAACCGTTTTGTTTTAATTTCAGGTATTCTGGCAATCAGCATACCCCAACTAGATAATTTTATTTCATTAGTCGGCTCTATCAGTTGCTCAACACTCGCCATTATTTTCCCGGTGGCAATTCACATCACCACCTTGACAACAGAGGGAGATGGCCGTGTTCCCACTGTCACTTTTTTCAAAGACGCCGCTATCATGCTCATTGGTATTCTAACGTTTCTGTTTGGTACCTACACATCAGTGGCGCGCATTGTTGTACGATACCAGACTGGACACAACTAGAATTTCTAGATTATGACAATTGACTTAGATGTATCTTAACAAACAAGGAAGAATAATGGTGGATTATGTCCGCTCGATATGGTCTAACCATAGTACCCTTCCACGGTTTTTTTCAACTTTTGAAATGACCGATTAAATTTACTGCGAAAATATCGCGCGTAATTTCAACGATGCATTCTTCTGTTGCCAGTGTCCGGTGCCCAAATCACAATGATTGTAGTTTGGATCTTTGCTATCTGTTTTCAATGCCACTTAATCAACTTATATTTACAACTATTTTAGGACCACAAAGCAGTAGTATAATTTTTCCAAAAAAAAAATTACCAAAACCCAAAGTCATGAAGCAAAGTTCTCCTATCATAAAATCGCAAAGTTGAACGTTTGTGAAATCGGATTTACAGCTGCAAAGCGTTTACAGCTACCCACATGACATTGCGGTCTTGTCGCGTAGGCTTGAGGTCTTAAAACCGAAAACTTTGATTGAAATAACTGCATTTACTTTTGTATGATTAGATTTTATATTGCACGTCTTGATATTGGTTTGGGAGACTGGGCGACACTCTTCATGGTAACAACCTATTTAAAGTATAGCAAATGAGAAAATACAAAATTTTCCTGGTAAAGGAAAACATTTTTGTGGTGTAAACGCGACTAAAGGTCAATAAAAATCAATTTATTTCTAAAAGTATGGCTCGTTTTACAAAATTTTCTATTTTATATAATAATACCAGCTTTCTCATTTGGCTGCCTTGAGTTTTTTCGCCAATGTGTTGTTTTCGTCCTTCATTTGTTTTAAGTCCGCTGAGATTCGTTCCAAGTTAGTAGTTGTGTTTTTCTGACTTTCCATTTCAATCTGAAGGAAATGAACATTGATGTTAACTAAACCTATCAATTTCAAGCCGGCGAGTGTTGACCCTGGGGAAGAGGGGTTTTAGCACTGATCTTGCTCTCCCGGGGGAGGGAGGGGACATTTGAATCTTTCTTCGCCCGACTTGTGGATTGATCAACGACTTGGAAAAAGGGACGGACGCCTGCATATGTCTTTGCCTTACAACCATTCAATAATACATTGTTTGGTTGAATAGAAGGCGCCACAAATGGAGTAATCTGTAGTAATAGGGAAAGTTGTTAGTTGAGCGAAGCATGTCAACCGGAAGAGGACATTTTGCAATATTTGACAGTGGTTTGACTTTAGTTTTGGGCAAGTCGTGTCGTTACCAATTTGGAGGCGTCAAGATATATTAGGCTGATTTAGCAACAGGACAGGAACGTCAGTTGACGACGGGAAAGCGCGTGGAAAGGACTAAACACGACTTCCGGTGCCCAATTTGCCGCTCTGCCATTGCTCAAGCCACTTGTTTGATCTGCGCGCGCCGTCGTCAACTGACGTTCCCGTTCTGTTGCTAAATCAGCCTATCAAAAGGGAAAACGCCTCACTTCCGCTTGACCAGCGTCACTCAAAAAGGCCGAGTTTAGTCCACGTGACTGTGAGAATATGTATGCTTTACTAGGGTCCCGTTATAAGGTTTCTCCACTGTGTTGTTTTACTATGGACTGATAGAGCGGTTTTCATTTGATTGTCGAAAAGTAATTGGTTTTGCACTTTCTACACGATGCGATTGGCTTAAAAGATTCGCGCCACCTTTTCATCCAATCAGAAGTGAAACCAAAGCCAATTGTGACGCGCTCGCATGCATTTTCCCGCGCTTTGCGTCAGCCACATGTAATTACTTCGAGTTGTGATTGGTTCAATGTCTTGTCTGTGTCCTATGTGATTGGCCAGAGTAATTACTGTGGTTTTGGTTTTACGACACTCAAACGAAAACCACTCTATCAATATGTCTCATACAATACCTGATCCTCTAAATCTCGTATTTCTCTCAAGATGAGTCCAGTTTCTTCCACTGAATTAATCAGTTCCTTGCAATTCTGGAAATTAACGATCACGTAAGTTTTTAGGTGTTTATTTAAAGGCATTGTCGTGGTTGAAAATTAGACAGCACATTTGGAAATTTATGGGTGGAAAACGGTAACCGGTCGTTTCGATACAAATTCAAGCAGTAAAATTGCACAAAAATTTCGATCACTTTAAGTACAGCTTGCGTGTGAACAAGAAATCATTTTGGGTGAATATTCTTCGTTCTTTAATCCAAGTACGTGAAACAACTTACAAGTCGACTGAATAAACTTGTATCGAAACGACCGGTAACCGTGGAAAACGGTCGTCCTATTTACATTCTAGTTTGATAATAACTAACGTGTTTATTTTTCCCATTTTGACTTGGAAAGTGGAAACTGCCCGGCGTTAGAATAGGACTAAAAGTCGTTGGTGGTAAGGTAATGGTACAGCGAGAAGGGCTCGCCCAAATGGTGCAGTGACTGTCTAAATATAAATGAACACTGCTGGCATATAGTAGGTCGGCTAAAACTAAATGAACATACCTCGTGAAGACTGGCTAGATATTTGTACGCTTTGCGGCAAGACTCGTCCTTCTTTGCATCCTGAGCAAGAAAATATTGGAAACAAATTGACTGCGAGCTTATCATACTTAGTTAATCTATTTCTAGTAAATAGGCACTTTGTTCCGGGGAAAAGGTAGAGAATGTGCTTAAAGTACAACTGTGTAAGTCCTGATGCGGGATTTATGGTCCCGTACGAAGAATGTGCACCAGCCTGGCCTGCATGGCAGGCGTTCGAAAGGGAAGGGGAAGGGAATTAAGGCGCAAGACCACGCGCGAGGGGGGGCGCCCAACGCGCTCTCGCACGCCCAAATTCCCCCTTCCCCTTTTAACGCCTGCCACGCAGGCTAGCACCAGCCTGGCAAGTTGTGCGCATTCTGCGTATTATGGGTACGAGGGCTTCAATATTTGCAAGAGATTATTTTACGTTACTGCAAAACTCTGAATTTCCTGACAGGTTTGTTATTTAAAAAAAATGATGGATTTACCTGCGTGACTTATAGAAATCAAAATCGACATTGTCATTAGCTCTTCTCTGAAACATTACGCTGACACTTTAAAAACAAACCCTGAAGATGAGTTCATCTGTTACAGCAAATGTTCTGTCCAGTTTTCCTGAAAGTTGGTTGATTTCTTTTTGCACATCTTTGGTGTCGATCAAAATCTGCCATGTTAATCACAAGCTACTGTCAACCACATGCGTAAACTAACGAGCAACTTCAGAACAAAACACTCACATTTGTTTCCTTCAGTGTACTCAGTGTATTTAGCACTAAGTCGAAACTAATTTTCGTGGCCTGCCCAAGATGGGACCGCGCACCATATTTACGTGGTCAACCCAACTAGGCGAAGGTCGAAGCAGCTGCAAGACAAAGGTTGTACGTTCTTTCCCAGTTAAGAACCTGGGACATGAATATCGGTCCGTTTTCGAGAATCAAACCCACGACATCTTGCTCCACAAGCCAGCCCTCTACCGACTAAACTGACCCTCAGGGATTTCACTTAGACAACACGTAATACGATAAGCAAACCTTAAACAGTTTAAAACCCTAGCTAACAAAGACAGGCTAGCAGGAATCAGCTCACAACTCGCTGACTGAAAAGACTGAAGCTGATTTGGAGTTTTACTTTACGAGTTAGTTTCGCTATTTATTGTCACTGATAAACTAAGATTGCAAGAGAATTACAATATAGCAAAAGTCAAAATCATTGAGTTTTAAGTTCCATACAATAGAATTATCACTACAAGCCGGTAAAGATTAAAAGCACTACCTTATTTATCTCCTCTTTTTGTTTCTTGATATTTCCTACAATTTCCAGTATTCGGCGAGTGTACGCTGATCTATTCACATCTTTTCTCATAGTCTCGTACTCAACAATCTGAAAAATTCGAGCAGAAAGATCTAAAACTAGGTAGTTACCAAGTTCCAGCGGCTGAAATACAATGTGGATGATGTACGTCGGAGAGAGCGTACCAAGGGACCTTATACAAAGTTCTTGAATATGCCACACTTTCCACAGAGCTCGACTTTCAACACCTGTCATCCTTAAATGGCTCCAAACCACAGGCATCCCAATCACATGATGAGAGTAGCGATATGTATACACTAGAGTTACGGTGGCTCTCTAGAGTAAATTGGCCGTGCGCAGCCTGAGCACTAGTATGGTGCAAGCTTTAAAATCCGCGCGACTTCCACGCAAAAATAAAACAAACACGGCTTCTCAGTTTCGAAATATTTTGAGAACTTATGACAGGTCGACTTGTAGCAAGTCTAACTATTCACCGTGTTAGGCAGATAGGCAGGTACCGTCTTAAAACTCTGTGACCAATGCAGCCTTCATGTATAACTTTGAAGTTACGAGCATTCATAACTATAACTTGAGCAGATATATTGGATAAAGTACGCAAACATTACCAGTTGTTTGTAAATGTCTTCCTTCCCTCGTGCCTCCTCTGCAACTTCTTTCATTTTCTCTCGAAGAGACTTTATCTCCTCCAGCTGCTTTTGAGCTTCCGACTAAGTACAAGAAACACAAAGAGAAAAAAAATACACTCGGATTAAGAACGATCTTACCACACATGGTGGGCCGACCACAGATTCCACAGACCTACATTGCACAATTCTATTAGCACTAAGCCACTTCGGTTCTCTGTACGGCTTTTTCAAAGGTGACTTGTGTTTCTCACAGACTTACCACTCTGTTAGCATTAAGCTGCTTCAGTTCTCTGTACTGCTCTATCAAAGGTGCCCTGTGTTTCTCCCACTGCTGTGCCAAGCTAACAAGTCGTTGTGCACTGGCATCAACCACACTCTAAATGATAAAAACAAAGTTTGCGAAATGAGAGTTTTAAAACCACCACTTTTACATAGCACCGAGAACAGCACAAAGATTTTTAAGGAGAAGAAAGCAATGCCTCAAAATATGTGCATTGACTGCCTTCTTCCTTGGTAAGTGTTACACGGTGAAAAGAACCTAAGTATCTGAAACATATCTTTAAAACTAAAACGTTACGTCATGTCTTTTAAGTGTTTAAAAAC